TGAAGACTTTTAGTTTTTAGATTTAAAATTCTCATTGAAACAGTATACTCGAATAAATAACGTCCCTTTTTATTATAACTCGAGCTGTTCTTACTACAGAAATCTAATTCTAGTTTGCTGATGCAAAAATGCATGAGTGGGTACAACAAAATGTGGACAAAAGTGGTTATAAGAAGCCTACACCTGTTCAGGTATGATTGGTTAGCAGCACAAATTTTCAATGTTGAGAACTTGTTAGAACGTTTTTCTAAGTAGCGGATTACAGAAATATTCTATTCCTACACTTCTTGGTAACCGTGACCTCATGTCATGCGCTCAGACTGGGTCTGGGAAGACTGCCGCATTCCTTCTCCCAATTATACATCATATTCTTGTAAATGGCCCTGAAGCGATTCGACCTGTAAGTTTACTTCTGCCTTATTCACAACAAATGCTTCTGAAATGAGGTAAATAAGATGTGTTTCTTACATTTTTGTTACATAAGGTGGAGTGATGTCTGAGATGGTGCTATGGCAAAGAGGAGATTTTTTGAGTTTTTCTAAGTGGTAGTACTTTAGTCATCCATGTCAAATTCTGGTCGACGAACATTCTATCCTGCTGCCCTTGTACTTGCTCCTACTAGAGAGTTGGCAATACAAATACACAAGGTAGGCATTCTTATATAAGAAGAAACTGATTTAGAATAAGTGCTTATTTTGCAGGAAGCTGCAAAGTTTAGCTATCGTACAAATATCATCACTGCAATTTTGTATGGCGGTCGTGAAAATTATCGCGAGCAAATCAACCGTCTGCGCGGAGGATGTCACATCCTCATCGCCACGCCTGGTCGTCTCATTGATATTCTTGACCAGGCAAGAAATTGTTCCCTTTTTCTCCTGTCATTTTTTCTATACATGTTGCAAAATTTTTCTAGGGCTACATTGGCTTAGCTGGATGCCGTTACTTAGTGTTAGATGAAGCAGATCGTATGCTAGACATGGGTTTTGAACCCCAGATACGGAAAATTGTCAGTCAAGGCATGCCGCCAAAATCGGAGCGTACTACTGCCATGTTCAGCGCCACTTTTCCCAAACAAATTCAGGTATATAATTAGTTTTTTTTGTGAAGAATTTATAATACCAGTTTTCAGACGCTCGCACAAGACTTCCTCAAGCCTAACTACGTGTTCTTAGCTGTAGGACGAGTAGGCTCTACCTCAGAGAATATAGATCAGCAAGTTTTGTTAGTGGAGGAGTTCGACAAACGCAAGATGCTAATGAATATTTTGTCTAGAGAGGGTATAGGTTATTTTCAGTTGGTTATAAATTTTTTATTGTCTCTCCCTTACTTTTCCCTGCAGATTTTATCACGCTTTCCATTCGGGTCCTTTTTTATCTACTACTATTAGATCTTCATTCTTTTCTTAAATTAAAGACGTGGTTTTTCTCGTATCTTTTCTTCATGCTTTCAGAAAATGATTCACTGGTGCTTGTATTTGTTGAAACCAAACGTGGAGCAAACGAATTAGCGTATGCTCTTCAACGGCAGCAGATCAAGTAAGTTCAGCTAAATCAAAATGTCAATTTGGTTTTTAGCAGTAGAATAAACCAGTGCGGTTCGCACTTTCGTGTATTAAAGAATTATTCAAAAGCTTGATCCCTCCTTTTGACACCCTTTTGAATCCACCGTTTGCTCCCCATAGCAACACGAAATGAACAACCAACTTGCCACGTTTTCACAACAAAATTGCTCATGTCTACTTTGGGCTCCGCTGTTAACATGATAACTGTAGATAACTGCTCTTTGACTTTTTTTAGGGCAAATGAATTAATTTCGTGACAGACAGAGAAACACACACACATACAGACAAACTTATTGTTTCATTATAAGTAATGATATCTTATTTTTGGGGTAATATCGTGTCTCTTTAGCGCTGTTGCAATTCACGGAGATTTGAAGCAGTTCGAGCGTGAACGGAATCTTGAGTTGTTCAGGAATGGAACAAACCCCGTACTTGTTGCTACAGCGGTACGTATCACCTCCTTATTTTGCTGATATTGCTAATCGAATTACATGCTTATTAGTTTGTTAATACGACTGATTACTTTTAGGTCGCAGCGCGTGGTTTGGACATTCCAAACGTCCGGCACGTTGTCAACTATGATCTCCCGGGTGATATTGACGAATATGTGCATCGTATCGGAAGGACGGGCCGCTGCGGAAATACTGGACGAGCTACAAGCTTTTTCACAGAGAAGGTAAAAGAATGCCGCTTAAGCCATATCAACGAGATTTTCTTTTTCAGAATCGTGCTCTTGCTCGGGACTTGTCCCAGTTGCTCAGTGAAGCAAACAAGGAGGTACCCGATTTTCTTCTGCGAATGGCTGCTGAAGGAAGATCGCAAGGCAACGGTAGATCGGTCAACCGCCGCTTTGGTGGATCAGATCAGAGGCGGGGCGGAGGTACAGGAGGCAATCGTGGAGGGTTCACGTACGTCCACTGCACTTTTCATTTGTCTTCAAGACCTTCCAGATGGTGCTTTTGCAGCGGACCCCCTGTGGTTCCACCAGCTATGCAGAATGGCTTTACACCAAATTTCACAGTGGGTGCGATGAACGGTTTTGCTCAGCCTCCAAGAGGTTATCCTCCGCAACAGAATGGATTTTCACCACAGAGTCGTTTTCCTCCTTCATTCCCCCGTGGTGGGCTGTCCTTTTTTCTGCCTATTTTTTTTGTTTGAGCTTCTTTAACTTTCAGAATTTGAGTAATTGATTTGCAGGAGCTGGTGCTCCATTCAACAGTGTTCCTCCTGTAGGATTCGGACAGCCTGGCTTTAGCGCAATGATGGCTCGAGGTGGCTTCCAGCCTGCGAATGGATTTGTTCCTCCAGGCCCTCCTCCACCAGGAGCCCCCTCGTTCCAGCAACAACCCCCATTTGCGAACGGCCGTGGATTCGGTAATTGGCAGAACTAAGTAAGCTGCGAAATATCATAGGTTTTTAAGGTCAATTCGAAATTTTATTTTCTCCGTTGTTTTAGGTTCTACAACGCTCCGATGCTATTTGTCCCTATATAACTATTTGCGTACCTCTTTCAGCGTTTTCTTCTTTTTTTCTTATATCAGCACTAAGTTATGTCGTTAAGAGGTGGAACACCTACGAGAGCTATTTATTCGTAATTCTTTGGTCGTCGACTAATCGAGAGTGTTTTGCATATTAATCGTTATCATTTCCTATATGTTCTTATCGCGTTTTTTGTTCAGAGCTTTAAGTGAGTAATATTTCAATTTGTGTACATGTGAGCGTCAGAAAATCGGCGACCTGTCTATATCATACAATGTGCGCGATGTGTTATGTTCTAGGCATTTTCTTCCAGTTTTTCTATCTATTATCACGACTCGTTTGCGTAGCTATTGTACTTGTGCGTTCTGTATGCTCTACTCAGGATGGTTTGAGTGTGTTATCGGTCGACGTTGGATTGTGTCTTCTTCTTTGCCGTTTCTGCGCGCTGTATCTCACCGATCTCATGGTGTGACGTGCACACTTCATGCCTCAATCCATGCTATGCGCGGTGTGTACACTGATACGGGTGTCGATGATACTGTCTTGTGTCGTTATCGTGCGGGTATTCCTCGTTCCATTCTAGTTAATATCCGTTCGTCATCCCGGTAGAAGCCCTCAGTCATTCTGTTCCCCTCCTTTTTCCCGTTACATGTCATCGCGCTATCATCTTATTTTGTGGCCGTTGATGCTTCAATAATTATTGTATATAGAACATCAAGTAATTTGCGGTGATAGCCTGTCACTCTTGACGTCTTCCCAAGTCTCAAATCTTGTACTACACTATAGAGTTAGGTAATTTTTAAAATATTTTGTTACTTAATAACTTCACTTTTCTTTCTGAAGAAGAGGCGCAGAGAAAGTTATGTTCATTTTTCTTTTTTTT